GAATAGTTGCATATTCTGCCTTTATTGCATCCACCATATATAAATTTTGCATTCTAGTTCATAGGGTGTGTATTTGACCTACTCTTAGACTTCATTTTGTTGCCATGACTGACTCCCACTGGATTGTGGCCCCTTATAATTGCTGTTGACAGTTGTCTTTTGATTCATGATAAATTTGTCTCTTTATAAATTGAAATCTTTATTTTGATCATAAGAAATTGTTAACAATTTATGATTTCTATATTATATTCTTCAACAAACAAGGAAATGTACCGACAGCTAAATAGTTGCATATTCTGGTTTTGTTGCATCCACTCTGTATAAATTGTGAATTCTAGTTCATGATCTCTGATACTTAAAATATGAATTTTTTTTTTCATAGAACTCATTTTAATGTTTTATAGGGACTCAACCTTATTTGGGGAAAAAATGAAATCTTAGGAGTGTTTGGTTATTAGCTTGTGCTAGATTAATCGTCATTTTTTATTCTGAAGCCTGTTAGTTGACTTATTTATTTTCCTGTTTTTGGCAACCTACTATTTATCATGGAGAAAAACAGGAGGTCATGTGAATGAATCTTTGTTGACTACAGGGAGGAGGCTTTTATTTAAGTATAATGTATAATGGTTATATAATCATGTAGTTCATAAAATCCCTAATTTACACATATAACATAACTACAATATTCAAGCATTTGATTAAATAGTGACAGTATTTATGAAGTGCAGGCCAGATGTTGAAGAGGGAGAAAAACTTATAAGGAGGCATCACAATCAAGCAAAATGTGCAGATCAATCTTTATTCTTGAATTTTGCTATGCATTCAGTCAGAATGGAGGCATGTGATTGTCCACCAACACATCATGTTCCATCAGAAGATCAATCAAATTCTTCTGTACTTCCTGGAGGAAAACCGCCCCATATTGTGGTACAAAATGAAGATGTTGTTCAAGCAGAAGGATACAATTGCCATTCTGAGTACTCACAGGTTGAACCGGAAAACTTCTATTGGGGTAGCAAGAAGAACAGGAGAAATAAGAACCGTAGTCCAGTGAAAAAGGAGTCACAAGTTGGTGAAAAACCCAGATCATCAATGCAAGAATCTGAAAAACAAAGAAAAGTTGGTAATGATAACTTTCTTAGGATTTTATTCTGGCAGTTTCATAACTTCCGCATGCTCTTGGGAAGTGATCTACTTTTATTCAGCAATGAAAAGTATGTTGCTGTGAGCTTGCATTTATGGGATGTCACACGACAGGTGAGCACATTCTTCTGAAAATGGTGTTGCATCAAACTTTGCATTAGCAGATTGTTAATATTTAAGTTTTCCCAATTTTTGTAGGTCACACCTTTGACATGGCTCGAAGCATGGTTAGACAATGTCATGGCAAGTGTACCTGAGTTGGCTATATGTTATCATCGCAATGGTGTTGTTCAGGGGTATGAGCTTTTGAAAACCGATGATATTTTTCTTTTGAAAGGGATATCAGAGGATGGGACACCTGCATTTCATCCTCATGTTGTACAGCAAAATGGTTTGTCTGTTTTGAGATTCCTTCAGGATAATTGTAAACAGGATCCTGGAGCTTATTGGGTACTATTATTATTTTTTTCATTACATTTATATATTTGTTGTTTTTAGCTTTAGTGTGTTAATTTTTTTAACAAATTTATTATATTTATCAGTAGTAGGAAATCTGACTTAGATTTTTGCAGCTTTATAAAGGTGCTGGTGAAGATGATATACAACTTTTTGATCTTTCCATTATCCCCAAAAACCGATCATCAGATGATAGTGATGACTCTTCAAGGTCCTTGCCATCGTCAATTAGTAGGGGTCGAAGTGATGCAGTATATTCATTGGGAACTCTCCTCTATCGAATTGCTCACAGGCTTTCACTGTCAATGGTGTGAAAAAATGAAACATTTTTCTGGGTTAACGCTGCTTTTGGTAGTTCTACTAATTTTTTACTGATTACTGTCTGTTTTTGCTGTAGGCTGCTACAAATAGGGCTAGGTGTGTGAGGTTCTTTAGAAAGTGTTTGGAATTTCTTGATGATTCAGACCATCTGGTATGTTTTTGGAATAACAAAATTGATGTCCTGCCCAACCCCATTTGCCTAGTATTTCCACTTATCTTTTGTTAAGTTGATTGCATTTCTTATAAATGTTGTACTGAACAGGCAGTACGAGCAATAGCTCATGAACAATTTGCAAGGCTGATTTTAAATTATGATGATGAGTTGAATTTAACTTCTGAATCTCTGGCCCTAGAGTGTGAACTAACTGTTACTGAAGCCAAAGATTCATCTTGGGATGTTGAAAACAGTAATTCTGAACGAGAAGGTGCCCATGAGGTATTTTATCTGCATGCTGCTGACAAATCAGGTGAACAGGGAAATATGATTGAGCACTTAGAATCAGAATGTTCTGTGAAGATGGTTTCTGATGGACAACCCTCATCTGGGGAACTGATATTGGTCAATAACATAGAATTGAGCAATTGCGAAGGGGATGTACCAATCACGTATCCTGATGTTAGCTCTTCAGTTTGTGAAGTGTGTCCAGTTCCAACGCCTGTGGTTCAGACAGTTGCCGACCCAATCTCATCTAAGTTAGCTGCTGTACATCATGTTTCACAGGCTATTAAGTCTCTGAGATGGATGCGACATCTTCAGAGTACAGAACCAGAGGTGATGGATCAATTCACTGAAAATCATGATAGACCATCATCATCTTTTAGTGTTTCTGTTTGTGCTTGTGGAGATGCTGACTGTATTGAAGTTTGTGATATTCGAGAATGGCTTCCAACATCCAAGTTGGATCATAAGTTGTGGAAACTTGTTCTTTTGCTTGGAGAATCGTATTTGGCACTTGCAGATGCTTATAAGGAGGATGGCCAACTGCATCAAGCATTAAAGGTAATTCAGCTATCATGTTCTGTGTATGGATCAATGCCTCCACATCTTGAAGACACAAAATTTATTTCTTCAATGGCTAGTGGCTCATCCTTGCAGAGAAAACTCATTGATCTGAATGAAAACACATCATGGGATGATGTAAAAGACGAGACTGTTAGTGGCTATATTGAAAGAAAGTCTTCTGTTTACCTTTTCTGGGCAAAGGCATGGGAACTAGTGGGAGATATTTATATTGAATTCCACAAGATAAAGGGTAAAGAAATCTCAATACAAGATCTGAAAAAACCTGTAACCAAAGAATTGAGAATGTCATCTGAGGTTGTGAAGGAAGTTAAAAGGCTGAAAAAGAAGTTGGTACAAATTAACCATAACTGCAGTTCATGTTCCTTGGTAAACTGCAGCTGCCAGAGTGACAGAGCTAGCAGTGGAAACAGTGCAAGCAGTAGTAGTGCAGCTTTGGGCCTCATGACTCATGGTAGAAAGCATAATAAACGATTATCTGCTAAAAATGCCAATTGCTCACCACCAAAAGATCCAGGAGACGAGTTCATTAATGACAAGGAGAATGGAAAAGATTTTGACAACAAATACATTGAGCATAGTAATAATGGTGGAGATCTGAATCAGATAGATACTCCTGAGAGTAGAATGGAAATCGAATCTTTGGCTGCTGTAAACCCTAGAACTCTTGAGGGATCCTCAGAGATGGATGCCTCATGTTCTAGTGTTGTTTCTCAATCAGAAAATAATTCAAATGAAACACAGAAACTGAAAAATGGTGGGATATTTGAGTACCTAGTTGAACCTCTAGTGGTAAGTGTAGAGTCCAATCTTGTAGCTGCTCTAAAGTGCTATGAAGAAGCTAGACAATCATTACTTAAACTTCCAAATAGTTTGTCTGAGTTACAATCTGTGGTTAAAAAGAAAGGGTGGGTTTGCAATGAATTGGGCCGAATCAGACTTGAGAATAAAGAATCAATTAAGGCTGAACTAGCATTTACAGATGCTATAGATGCATTCAGAGAAGTTTCAGATCATACCAACATAATATTAATAAACTGTAATTTAGGCCATGGCAGTCGGGCATTGGCTGAGGAGATGGTATCTAAAATAGAGAATCTTAATCTACATAATATTTTCCACAGTGCATACAATCATGCATTGGAAACTGCAAAACTGAAATATTTAGAATCCCTTAGATATTATGGGGCAGCAAGGTTAGAATTGAATGCCATGAATGATCATGACGATTCTGTGACAAGCAGCTTGAGGAATGAGGCACATACACAGTTTGCTCATACCTATCTGCGGCTTGGAATGCTTTTGGCAAGAGAAAATACTACTGCAGTTTATGAAAATGGATCACTGGAAGATACATGTGTAAGTCACACAAAGCCCCAAGACAGAAAAGCCAGAAAAGATTTGAGAAAGCATGAGATTTCAGCTAATGAGGCCATTAGGGAAGCGTTATCTGTGTATGAGTCACTTGGTGAACTGCGCAAACAGGAGGCTGCATATGCTTACTTCCAATTGGCTTGCTATCAGAGAGACTGTTGTTTGAAATTTATGAATTCAGGAAATAAGAAAAGCATTTTGCAAAAAGGAGAAAATAGTGCTGTACAGCGAGTAAAACAGTATGCATCTCTGGCAGAGAGGAACTGGCAAAAAGCGCTGGACTTCTATGGCCCTACAACTCATCCTAATATGTATTTGACTATTGTTATGGAGAGATCAGCTCTTTCATTAAGCCTTTCAAGCTTTTTACACTCCAATGTGGTATTTTCCTCTACTTCTTTTACACATTAATTAAATTCTTTATGACTATTTTACTGAAATATTCATTGAGATGATTTAATTCCATCATTAACCTTTTCTGTTGCACTATGCTATCTAATATCATGTGTGTGTTTTACACTAATAAAGACTCCTTGGAAATTTACATACTTGGGCTGAGTGCATTGTTTTGTTTGTTAACTTATAAAAATAACTTAGGCACTTCACTTCCCAGCTATAACAATATTATAAAATTCACGAAATTGGGTTCTGTATTTGCAACTTAGATTTACTTCCTATGAAACTTGGTAAAAATGTCTCCAAGGTGTTGGGTCAAGTTGATATCTTAGATATGTTTTATCGTGATGTCAACTGCATAATGTGCTGAAGTACTGTATTTGAAAATTCTTTGAAATTGATGAGAATTTGAGAGAATTAGGTGGATCAAAGAATACATAAATTGATGAAATTTCTTTGAAATTTCTGACTTTCATTTTTCTGAATCAATTAATTGTCTTAAATATCTTTTGATATTCCTTAAATTTGTACATTAATAATGAAGACCTCACTATAGATTTTATTGAAATTTGGTTTTTGATATACCAATCAATATTTCATTAATGAGCCAGTGTATATTTCTGTCATTTGTTGATTCTTCCAGAATTTTGTTGCAGGTGCTGGAATCAGCTTTGGCGCATATGCTTGAAGGGCGCCATGTTTCAGATACTACTGAGGACACTTTCAGTACTAGATATCCTGAATTACATGCAAAATATTGGAGTCAATTACAGATGCTTTTGAAGAAAATGTTGGCCACGATTCTTTCATCGAGTGCAAACAAAACTCCTTGTCAACCATCTTTGACATCTAGCAGATTTGGTGATGGTGGAAAGATCAAAGAACTCTACAAGATGTCCCTGAAGGGTACTGACATGATCCAACTGCATAACATGCACAACTTGTGGATATCGTGATGGGAAGTTAGTCCAGCTGCACACACCGGGTACAGTGTATATAGCTTGTAAAAGTCATGACAGTAACTTCATGGTGACATTTCTTCTCTTGTTAACTATGGATCAGTGCAAAATTATAAGAAAAACCTAACCAGTAGTAGAAATATTGTAGAAAATCAATGTATATATTTATGCTTTAGCTACTTTGGGAATGGATAAAAGGATATCGAAGTATAAAAAGAGGTTTACATGCATTTTTATTGTCTTGAAAAAGTTCATGACCCCCTGAAATTATCATAATTAATTTTAATTTTCTATAAAAAAGAACTATTCATAATTAATTCTTATTTAAAGAATTTTGAATTAAAAAAAATCTATTGAGATGAAAATCTATTGGATTGAAATTAAAAAAAGAATTAATATGAAACGTTTTGAGGATTTTGAAAGACTTTTTAAGAATACGACTTGCATAAAGAGTTTACAGACTTGAATATTTATAAGATGATTTGAAATGTTATGGATTGATAGGATTTAAAAGTGGGGTTGTACGAGATGAACTGCAAAAATTAGGATAAATGGGTTCGTTCCTAACATTCTTTTTATTTGATTAATAAGTAGGAAAATATTCATTACCTTAAAATGAGTGATTTAGTGATAACAAAAACAGAGAAGTTTATAAATTTTAGAAATTGAAGTATATTGAATTTAAATTATTTATATTTTAACTTTTTTTTTATAAAACTCAGGATATACGTTACTATGTTC